CTCCTCAATAAAATTTTACCCAACAGAATCCAGAAACACATTAAAGAAAACAAAACCCACATTATGATCAAGTAGGTTTCATCCCAGAGATGCAGGGCTGGTTTAACATATGTAAATCAATTAATGTAATTCATCACATCAACAGAGCCAAGGTCAAGAACCACATGATCAAAAAAAAAAAGAAAAGAACCACATGATTATCTCCATTTATGGAAAATACAACACCCATTCATGTTAAAAGCTCTAGAGAAAATAGGAATAGAAGGGACATTTCTTAAAACAATAAAAGCCATATATGAGAAATCAATAGGCAATATTATACTCAACAGGGAAAAACTACAACCAATTCTCTTAAAATCAGGAACAAGGCAAGGATGTCCACTCTCCACTCCCCTTCAATATAGTTCTGGAACCCTTAGCCAGAGCAATAAGGCAAGAAAAGGACATTAAAGGGATCCACACAGGGAAGGAAGAAATTAAACTATCCCTATTTGCAGATGACATGATATTATACCTTAACAACTCCCAAAACTCCACTCCTAAACTCCTAGAACTTATAAGGAGACATGACAAAGTAAACATAATTTGTCATATCATTTCTAGATGACTCCATGTTCTGGACCTCATATATGGTATATGCATGTGTACATCTGAAGGAAGCTAGGAGGAAGGCACAGAATCAGAGGGAAACGGGAAAATATACAACAAAGAGGCCCATCATCTGCATTGGACATTGATGAAAATGAACTAAGCAACTCAAGGGCAGCAACGGGAGGGAGGGAATAAGGGGGAAAGAGGGAACAGCTTACACTAAGCAAAAGGAAAGAAATGTACATATCACCCGATTTGGAAGAAATAGTTGTATTGTCAAAGTTTATAGAACTCACAAATTTTATAGACCATAATAATGACAATTTGTCTTGAGAAGGTTAAAACATGTATGTGTGTCTTCAACCAAGTATCACTATGCCACAATACTGTGAAATTTATGTAATCACTTAATCTCAACAAAAACTGTTTTTAAAAATAAAAAGTCTGTAACTCTGTGTATGTAAGATTTATGAGGGTCTTTAAAAAGTGAGATTCTTGGTTCTGTTGCCACTCAGTAATTTTTCAGGTTATGCCCACAACAAACTACTAAAATTGTGGTGAAATATTCGTCACACAATGATTGTTGTTAATAATAATGACTGAGGGTATTTCACAGTGGGGGAAAGTTCTGGTTTGGCTAGGAAGTCTTTTGTCTTTATGGAAAAGTTGAGGAATTGGTAGGAAAGCAAAGTGTGCATAGATAATGTGGAAACTGAATTAAATGAAAACCTGGTTTAAAAAATCCGATTTGATGTTCAGAATGACTTTCAAATGCTCAGATGCCTTTGGTTGAACCACTCAGAGAAGGGAGGGAAGTACTTTAAATGTTAGTAAGGCTGTGTGTGTGTGTGTGTACGCGCGCGTGTCACGCGTGCACGCATGCGTTCGCACATTGATGCTGGGCTTGAATTTAGGGCCTTGCATTCTCACTGAGCTTTTCACTCGAATCTGGTACTCTACCACTTGAGTCAAAACTCCACTTTCTGGCTTTTTGCTGGTTAATTGAAGATAAAATTCTCACATACTTTCCTGCCATGTTGGCTTTGAACCTCAATCCTCAGATCTCAGCCTCCTAGGTAACTAAGGTGATTATAAGTGTGAGCCACCAGCAACAGTTTCTATGTTTGTCCTTTAATGAGGATGAACAAAGTTAAAACTGAATGCCAAGGTTGGTGCTAGGAGTTATAAAACATCATCTTGTTGGAAAGTGACTCTAGGAAGACATGCTATAAGGAATGTCCTGGTGAGGAAGAGGTCCTGTGACAAGGATTGCATACCAATATGACGGGCAACTGGCCTGGCGGCTTTGTGTGACAGTTGCTGCATCTACCAGTCAGGTAGCTCTGGAAGGTGGAGCAATTCCCTGTCAGTCATCTGGGAAAGAAGCAGATTCTCAAAGGCAAAATAGATCCAATCTTATATTTTCATTCCAGAGAGTCCTGCAGGGGTGGGGACAAAGCCAGGGAAGAGCTGGTGGGGCCTCTCCCATCATTTAGTGCACTAACAGTTTTTAACTATCCCTGCTTATGATTTCTGAACCCATATCTACTGGATAAAAGCCTGTATTAAAAAAAAAACTATCTCCGAGGAGATTAAAAAAAAAAAACACAAAACATTTAGCTTGTTTTACTGTGGAATCCCAGAGTGGGATTTTTTTTTTTTAACATTATTGATGTTTGGGGCTTCTTGGCAGTACTGGGGATGAAACCCAAGGCCTGATCATGCCAGACAAGAGCTCTGCCACCAAGCTACACTCCCAGCCCAGTTTCAGCTTTCTAAGGAAAAGTGGTAATCCTTGGACCAGGAGGAGCTGGCAGGACCATGGGAACTGCCCTACAATGGAGAGAGGGTTTGTTCCCACACTGATGAGGGTGTGTGAAGATGTTTCTGAATTTCTCCATCCAGAAAGGCTTCAGTGGCCACCACCCAGCACTTCATGTGAGCTGCATTCCAAAGACATTTGGGATAGCAACACATGGTGAGAAACACACAGGTGCCCAGGTCCCAGCAACCTCCCTCCTCCCTGTGGGCTGAGGAGGAAGAAGATTCCTGGAGCCAGGTACCAGGATGTAGGTGATTCTTCTCACATTGAAAACTCAGGCCAGGTGCCTGTGTGGCTCAAGCCTATAATCCTAGCTACTCAGGAGGCTGACATCTAAAGATCGTGGTTCAAAGCCAGCCTGGGAAGGAAAGTCTGTGAGACTCTTATCTTCAATTAACCATCAGAAAACAGGCAGTGGTGTGGCTCAAAGTGGTATAGCACTAGCCGTGAGCTGAAGAGCTCAGGGACCAAGCCTAGCACCCAGGCTCAGAGTTCAAACCCCACAACTGACAAAAAAAAAGTATATGGGCCTTAGCCAGTGCTGATAGTTCACATCTGTAACCCTAGCTACTTAGGAGGCTGAGATCCAAGGATCACAGTTCAAAGCTAGGCAGGAAAGTCTGAGAGACTCTAACCTCCAATTAACCACCAAAAAGCTGGAAGTGGACATGTGGCTTAAGTGGAAAAAGTGCCAAACTTGAGTGAAAAGCTAAGAGACAGCACCCAGGACTCAAGTTCAAGCTCTAGTACTCATTAAAAAAAACGTATCATTCCATTTCTTACTCAAGTGACCCTGGATAAGTCAAACAATTTGCCTAGAGCTTTGTACATACTAGGCACAGACTCTCCACTGAGCTACATCCTTAGCCCTGAGACTTGGCCTTTTGATAAGAGGAGTATCAAGGAAGTTTTAGAACAAAAATTAAAGCTAGTTGGGCATGGTAATTTATGCCTATAATCCCAGCATTTAGGAAACTGAAACAAGATCATCCAAGCTGTAGTACATGATGAAGGCTACAATTAAATTAGGGCTGGCAAGAGGGGAGAGGATGAGGAGAAATGGTGATATAATTAAAAATAGGTGGTAGGGATTGACAATTAAAGAGCATGGCATTCTTCTTGAGATGATGAGCATGTTCTAAAATTGTGCTGGTCATTGCACACAGCTGACACTATTGAATTTCAATAAAGAGTGCTGCCTCCAAGGAGATAGTATCAGAACTTATTGAATTGTAGGACCACCAAGTAGTGTCTGTAGAGAATTGAATTGTTGAGAATACCAGCAACACCTACCACCGCCATGTTGTTCTTGTATCAGAAGTGACTGGAGTAGCAGAGAGAAAACCAAGTTCTCCCTTTCAGCTATCTAAGTGGTTTCTCTCGAGCTAGAGAGGGGGCTATCATAGGGGCAGCAACTGTGTCTAAGACATTGTTTTATCCTGGAGGTTTACACGATTCCATACCTTCATAGCTACCAAGTAAATGCTTATTTTTATCATGATAAAGAAACTTGCTCAGGTTGTCCCCAAGTCTAGGATATTCTTTCAGCTTCCTTCTGTTACTGAACCTATCCATCCGTCAATAGCCAAATCAAGTCCTCCTCCTCATTCATTACATTTGCCTTAGTGATTTTGGCCTACCTGTGTTCTGGAAAACCTTGGTGTCTATAAAATCCATTGAGACATTTTATCACATTCAGTTTTGAAACATACCTAGGGCTTATCTCACAATGTAATTGTAAGCTTCTTAGAGGAAAAGGGCTAAACTGCACCCTGAATTAGTATCATAGGTGTTCAAGAAATATAAGATGGGGGCTGGGCACTGGTGGTTCCTACCTGTAATCCTAGCTGTTCAAGAAGCTGAGAATTTTAGGATTGCAGTTCAAAGCCAGCCCAGGCAGAAAAATCTGTGAGTCTCATCTCCAGCAAGCCACTGGAAGTGGAGGTGTGTCTACAGTAGTAGTAGATCACCAGACTTGAGTAAAAAACAAAACAAAACATAAAAGCCAAGTAAGAGTGTAAGGCCCTAAGATCAAACCCCAGTACCAATATTTAAAAAAAATATATATATATATATATGTATATGTATATATCACTTGGCCCTGCCTATAATCCTATCTACTCAGGAGGCTGAGATCTGAGAATTGTGGTTCAGGGCTGGGAAGGTGGCTCAGTGGTAGAGCGCTTGCCTTGTATGCATGAGATCCTGGGTTCAGTTCCTCAGCACACCATAAGCAAAAAGAAAAAAGCTGTAAGTGACACTGTGGCTCAAGTGGTAGAGTGCTAGCCTTGAGCTGAAGAGCTGAGGGACAGAGCCCAGGCCCAGAGTTCAGGCCCCCATGACCAGACGCCCCCCCCAAAAAAAATTGTGGTTCAAAGCCAGCCTGGGCACAGAAGTCCATGAGACTCTTCTCTCCAATTAATCACTTGGAAGTGGAGCTATGGCTCAAGTGGTAGAGTGCTAGCCTTGAACAAATGAAGCTCAGGGACAGGGCCCAAGCCCTGAGTTCAAGCCCTAGGACTGGCACAAAAAATGTAGCAATGAATAATTAGCACAAGATTTTTTTTTTTTACAAAGTCTAAAGTTTTTATTCTAAATAAGAGTGAGTGCTTTTCGGGAAACCGCTCTGTGAGTCCTTTGCCAAGAGCACAGCTTCATTGATGCTCTCGGTGATGTAATCTATGTTGTGGGTGTTGATGCAGGTGAAGTTGATCCTGCTGTTGCTGGGGATGTAGATATGCTTCTGCTTGATCAGGTAGTCCACCTGTTGATCTGTTAGAACCAAAAAGTCTCAGGTCCTGGGGTGGCCACCTCTATGCACCTCTGACAGGCAGGATTATCTAGGATAGAAAGTGCTAGTATTTCTGTAATTTTAGAAGCATCTATTAGGATGATGATGATGATGTAGTTGTATAAAGGGGTTACAATTCCACAGTCAGGCTATAACTACAATGCTTCTTGGTCAATGTCACCTCCTCCCACATCATTCTCCCTCCTCTTTCCCTCCCATCCCTTACCCTCAAGTTACATGGCTCAGTTTCTAGAATCCTCTTTAAAGCAACTCCATTTTTCAGGGCAATAATGAAAATCTGGAGCAAAACTATGGGCTTCTAGTCAGTGAAATTCAATGCTCAACTACTGGTTCAAAGTTAGGGAAGAGCCACCTCCTCCCACCCACTTACTATTGAGTCCCAAATAGCCATGGGTCCCAGTCTGTTCAGTGATGTGATTCCAGGAACCTGGCGTTCCCAGGAGCCGGAGCTTCTCCTTCACCTTTTCCTTGATCAAGATCATGCCCTCTACAGCGTCCTTTAGACTCTGCTTCCTGCCAAAGAAGGCCAGCAAAAATGGAGAGTATGAGGCCTTCTCCTGCTTGTAAACCTTGTTTTTCCAGTCTGCAGGTACAACAGTGGAGCATGGTGGTCATTTGTGGTGCTATTGAAAAGAGCTGGAAGCTTCAAGGGGCAGAGCCCAGTGGGAGGAAGTTAGGTCTTTGGGGCTAGGCCTTCAAAGAAGATATTAGGACCCCAGCTATTTTCTCTTCCTTTCTTTGCTTCTAGACCTCCATGATGTTTATTTCCACATGCTCCCTGCCATAATTTACTGCCTCACTAGTAAGCTTAAGTAACAGGGCCAACTAACATAATGAAACCTATTACTTTGTATAATTAATATAGGCTAATAAAAATGAATGAAGTTAAAAAAAAAAACAAGGCCAACTGACCATGGACTGAAACCTTCTAAACTATGAACCAGAGTATAACTCTTTGCTTCATAAGTTGGTTATCTCAGATATTATGTTACAGGAACAAAAAGCTGACTGATAGAGATTCTGTGTTAGTTTTTTTTTTTTTTTTGGTCGGTGGTGGGGCTTGAACTCTGGGCCTGGGCGCTGTCCCTCAGCTCTTCAGCTCAAGGCGAGCGCTCTACCACTTGAGCTATAGCACCACTTCCGGTTTTCTGGTGGTTTATTGGAGATAGGAGTCTCACGGTCTCTCCTGCCCGGGCTGGCTTTGAACCGCGATCCTCAGATCTCAGCCTCCTGAGTAGCTAGGATTACAGGCGTGAGCCACCAGCGCCCGGCTTTTCTGTGTTAGTTTTAAAATGCCAAGGAAGGTTCAAGGCAAATTTTGCTGCTGGAATAGCAAAATCTGATGCATTCCAGTATCCTCCTGAAATCTGAAAGTGATCAAGTATATCACTGCTCATTTCTATACTGAATGTTCTATTTAAGGTTAGGCAACCTTGGGCTGTTGGGTCACAGCCACTGGAGCACAGCAGGCTCTGAACAAAATGTGATAAATGTGTTAGTGAATGCATGGGATGGACAGGAGGAAACACCCAGATGAATCCTGAACACCAGCAAGTCGATAGGTATCCAGGGACTCCACCCACCTTGCCCCAACCCTTTCACCCTTACCATTCTCCCAGCAGAGCGGGGTTACAGAGGACAGATGTGATGATGCGAGCACCCATGGCGGGAGGGCTGAGCCACAGCACCTGGATGCAATTCATCAGCTGGGAGAGGACACACAGAAGGTGCTGGTTGTTGAGTGTCACCACAACGAGGAGCCCCACTCCTTCATCTGCAGCATTGGGAAGACATCTGGTCCTCAGTCCCCTCCTCATCACCAGGATCTTCACCCCTCCCTCCAACATTGCAGAAGACAGAACTGAACTAGGGAGCTGCCATCCCAGCCAGATCTAGATCTCAGAAAGTTGCTTAGATTCTCTCTGTGTCTCTCTGTGTCTCTGTGTCTCTCTGTGTGTCTCTGTCTGTCTCTCTCTCTCTCTCCAGAAAAGTAGCCATTCAGTGAGAGTCTTCACAGAGGATGGACCTTGAAAGATCCCTAATCACCACCTTGTCATCTCATAGACAAGAAAAATAAAGGCCTTGAAAGTGAAATGATTAACTAGAGAAGGTTGAGGCAGAGTTTGGGGAAGAGAACCAGAATGCTCCCCAATACTCTTCTTTTCTCTCTTCAATAGCTAATGATGTCAAAAATATCCTTCATAAGCCAGGCACCTGTGGTTTGTGACTATAATTCTAGTTATATAAGAGGTTGAGATCTGAGAATCATTGTGAAAAGCCAACCTTGGCAGACAAAACTATGAGACTCATCTCCAATTAACCAGCAAAAAGCTAGAAGTTAGCTGGGTGCTGGTGGCTCACACCTGTAATTCTAGCAACTCAGAAGACTGAGATCTAAAGATCAAAGTTTAAGCTAGCCCAGACAAAAAAGTCCATGAGATTGTTATCTCCAATTAACCACCAAAAAGGATTGTTATAGTACTGGCCTTGAAGGACAGTGCTCAGGCTCTGAGTTCAAGCCTCAGGACTGGTTCACACACACATACAGAGAGAGAGAGAGAGAGAGAGAGAGAGAACAAAAAAAAGAAGTGGAAGTGAAAGAGTCCCAGCCTTGAGTGAAAATGCTAAATGAGAGCTTGAAAGTGTGACTTCAAGCCCAATATCAGCATTAAAAACAGTAATAAGTAATAGGAATCAATCAGTACTTCAATAAATCAATAGCTAGGTGCCAATGGTTCATGCCTATCCTCCTAGCTGCCCAGGTAGCTGAGATCTGAGGATCATGGTTCAAACTCAGCTTGGGTAGAACAGTACATGAACCTCATATCTCGCCAATCAACCACCAAAAATCCAGAAGTAAAGATGTGGTTCAAATGCTAGCCCACCAGCCTTGAACAAAAAAGCTAAATGACAGCAGTCAGGCCCTGACTTCAAGCCCCAGTAAACAAACAAACAAATAAAATAAACACACCCTATGAGTTTCACTGCATTTTTACCATTCCCGCCTCCATTCTGCCCAATATCATACCATAAATACCAAAGTTCTGGGACAGAGATTGGCTGCAGAAGAACTCCAAGCCTTGAGACACAAAGTACTGTAAGATTATGGCTTCTTCTTCCAAGTCCCCTGTATTTAAGCCTTGGCAAGGAAAATCAAAAAATGGGAATATCTGTCGGCTCTGTAGGAGAAAGACGGAAACCAGATGAGGCAGCTGGAGGAGACAGCAGGTGAGGAATCAAAGGAAGTTCCACTGGGAGGCTGAGCTCACCTTAATGGTGTACATCAGTTTTGCCCACTGAACCTGGGTCAACTTGCAGTCAATAATGTTTCCAATCACAAGGACACTGCCTTGTGGGAGATGCTGCAGATAGAAACTCTCATCAGGTACCTCCTCTGGTACTTGGTAGTGACCTCAGAGCATGTGAAAGAGAAATAAGTCCTCCTCCATGTTGATTCCTACTGAAAGGCCAGCAAAGCTAAGCCCACTGAAGGCTTTGGGTAACTGAGGAGCAAAAGGTGGGAGGAAATAAAACTGGGGAAGTCCCTTCTGGGGAGAAGTTTCAGAATATGTGTGTGTGGGGGGGTGTCCTGTACCTCTACGACGTTGAGGAACAGGATGGGGTCTAGACACAGCTGATCAGGATCCCAGATGGAGTATTCATAAACTTCATAGTCCAGGTCCTTGAAGATGAGTCCATGTGGTTCTGTGGGAACATAGCCCCCGCCCACTAGCTGTGTCCATGGAGATGGAGAACTGAAGGCAGACATATTGGAGAATGGGGCTGAGGTAGGTCAATAGCAGGAAGTGGACAGATTTGGCCTGGCCTGGCCACCATTTTTCTCTGACATGGTGAGGATTATGAACACGGTGGGAATTAGGAACCGGACAAGTTTCTTCAGATTCCCTCATCTTGTCTAACACTCACCTTTCTGAGACGAGATGATGCAAGCTACCTGAGCCCCCCTGCTCCAAATCCTGAGGAACTGGGCCCCAAGCTGGAAGGCACCACTATCACCAACAGTGTGCACACCCCCGACCTGTCAGTAAAAAAGTAACAAAAGTAACACTTTAACAGAGTCATGGAAAGATAACTACTACCTAGGAGTACCCAGACTTGAATCCAAGGCTTCATGCATGCTCAGCTCATGTCCTACCTCTGAGATACTCCTCTTTAAAAAGCTCTTAGGATGGCGCTGGTGGCACACACCTGTAATCCTAACTACTCAGGAGGTTGAACTCTGAGAATTACAGTTTGAAGCCACCCCAGGCAGGAAAGTCTGTGAGATTCTCATCTCCAATTAGGTAACAAAAAGCCAAAAGTGGAGCTGTGACTCAAGTGGTAGAGTACTAGCTTTGAACAAAAAGAACTCAGGAACAGTGCCCAGGCCCTGAGTTCAAGTCCCAGGACCATCTCTAAAAAATAAAAAAGCTTTCTTGGGTAACAATGGCTCATGCCTGTAATCTTAGTTACTCAAGAGGCTGACATGTGAGGATTCTAGTTAGAAAACAGCCCAAGCCAAAAAAAAAATCTTTGACACTCTTATCTCCAATTTCCCATCAAAATGCCAGAAGTGGAGCTGTGGCTGAAGTGGTAGAGCACCAGCCTTGAGTAATAAAGCTAAGGGACAGTGTCCAGACCCTGAGTTCAAGCCCCAGTTCACACACACACACACACACACACACACACACCATCACCACCACCACCAATACCAATAACAACCAGCCAACCAACAAAAATATCATTCCAGTAAGCCATGTGGAGTGCCTGTGTTTGGGTATGGCCTGTGCCAAGGCCGGGTGCTACCACAGTCCCTTTGCAACTTTCAAGTTATAGAGACACCAATATCTACACCTTGTGTGACTCACTCTGTTCTCCATGATGGCCTGGCTGTGTTTTCCAAAGAGGAGCTCCAAAGAGGCCTGGATGAATGATTTCATTCCCTTGGAAGGCAGGTACTCGTAGTTCAGAGAGGGATCCTGTGCAATCTGCTGGCGGATCTTGTGCACCACACCCGAAACCCAGGGGTCACTTTCATTGGTCATGCAGACTGTGGGGAAAGCACAGAGAGATGGATCTCTGGATGCCTGGCCTCCAGCCTCCAAATCCAGGCTCCACAGACAGCCCACAGTGTGCCTCATCCTACGCTGCCTGGGGTTTGGGATAACTCTTGGTTTCCTTCTTTCATTTTTCATATATATATATATATATATATATATATATATATATACACACACACACACATATATTATATATATATGTATGTGTGTGCATACACACATACATATATATATAACATATATCCATATATATTTGAATATATATACATAAACCATGTGCTGGTGGCTCACACCTGTAATCCTAGTTACTCAGGAGGCTGAGATCTGAGGATCCCAGTATGAAGCCAGCCTGGACAGAATAGTCTGTGAGACTTGTATCTCCAGTTAACCATCAAAAGGCTGGAAGTAGAGCTCAAGTGACAGTGCTAACTTTGAGCAAAAAAGCTTAGGCCCCAAGTTCTAGACCAAGAACCAACACAATAAATAGATAGAGAAACTGGGCGCCAGTGGCTCTTGCCTATAACCCTAGCTATTCAGGGGCTGAGATCTGAGGATCTCAGTTCAAAGCCAGCTCAGGCAGGAAAAGTCCATGAGACTCTTATCTCCAATAAACCACTCAAAAAACAGCAAGTGGCACTGTGACTCAAGTGGTAGAGTGCTAGCCTTGAGCTTAAGAGCTGAGAGGCAGTGCCCAGGCCCAGAATTCAAGTCCCACGATGGACAAAAAAAGAAAAAAAAATAGAGGATAAATAGGTAAGCTGATAGATAGATAGACAGACAGACAGATAGATTAGACAGACAGACAGACAGACAGAAGATATGTTCTTTTTGTCTTAAAAGAGAGAGAGCACCAGGTATTGGTGGCTCACACCTGTCATCCTAGCTACTCAGGAGGCTGAGATCTGAGGATTGTAGTTCAAAGCCAGCTCAGGCAGGAAAGTTCATGAGACTCTTATTGCCAATAAACTACTCAGAAAAAGTCAGAAGTGGAGCTGTGGCTCAAGTGGTAGAGCACTAGCCTTGAGCAAAAAGAAGCCCAGGGACTGTGTGCAGACCCCAAGTTCAAGCTCCAGGACCAGCATAAAATAATAATAGTAGTAGTAATAGTAGTAGTAGTACTAGTAGTACTACTAGTAGTAATAACAATAGAGAGTGAAGGAAGGAGTGACATTGCCCAAAATAAAATGTACTCTTTACCTGACTTATTAACTATAACCCCTCTGTACATTACCTTTATAATAACAATAAACAAATACAGGGCTAGGGATATGGCTCAAGTGGTAGGTTGTCTGCCCAGCAAGGACAAGACTCTTGAGTTTAAACCCTAGTACTACCACCAAAACAAAAACAAATAAATGACAAACAAAAAAAAAACAGCTAGGGGCTGGGAAGGTGGCTCAGTGGTAGAGCACTTGCCTTGCATGCATGAGGCCCTGGGTTCGATTCCTCAGCACCACATAAGCAAAAAGAAAAAAGCCAGAAGTGGCGCTGTGGCTCAAGTGGCAGAGCGTTAGCCTTGAGCTGAAGAGCTGAGGGACAGCACCCAGGCCCAGAGTTCAAGCCCCACGACTGGACCCCCCCAAAAAATTATATACACATATACAAAGTGAGAATTGTCCATGCTAACTCTGACTCACAATAGCAAGGACTGGTTGTGTATCAGAGAAGTCAGTGTGGAGAACTTTTCTCCATTGAGGAATGAGGAAAGAAGGAAAAGACTGAAGAGGAAGCAGCTGAAGAAAGGGTGATGCCCATGAAGGCCTCAAAGCCTAGAGCTATGGAAGAGGGTGTGGCTCTTACTAACTACCTGGCACCCAGAGAAGGTCAAAGGAGAGGCCAGGGAATGACTAGGACCTTGTCCAGTGTTCCCAGCTGGACAATTCTGGTAATACGGAATGACCTCTCTGCCTTCTGAGAGGTGGGCCACCCCTCCCCCAGTCCTTTGTGGTGCAATACTGCTCACCTATAGGCAGTCATTATATATATATATATATATTCACCATACACACATATATAACATTATATATAGTCTTAAACAACAGAAGCTACCTCTGTAGGCCAGAAACACCTTGTTGGTGTCCTCATCTTGCTGGTAGGTCTTTAACAAGCTGCCATCTACTTTCTGGGCTGCAGGCACATCCATGAACACAGAAAGGCTGGGCATGACTGGATGATGGTAGAGCCGACACTACAACTCTGCTCTACTGCTCTTCCTCCCAGAACCTTGGTAGCTTCAACACAGAGACAACCAGTTGCCAGAGCAACAGAACTCTACAACTCCCATCCCAGTGTCAGTGATGCTCAGGGATCATGGGAAGGAACATTCTATGGCCCTGAGAGATCCCTTAGGAGAGCAAGCAGTGAAGAGGTGGGAAGGAATTGGGATTCCCAGGATTCCCACTTCTCTAACTCACTACCTTCTCTAGCAATGAGAAAGCAATGGGAAAGCGAGGTGTCAGTAAGCCAGGTAGAACTCTGTTCACATAAGTAAAAATCACACATCACATAGCAACACAAGTCAAGGGATGTGTGTGTGTGTGTGTGTGTGTGTGTGTGTGTGTGTGTGTGTATACAGTACTGGGGCTTGAACTTGCTAGGCAGGCATTCTGCCATCTGAACCATAACTCCAGCTCTTTTTCCTTTCATTATTTTTGTAAAAGGGTCTCACGCTCTTTTCCTCTGGAGCTGACCTGGTCTGAGGTCCTCCTATTTATGATTTCCCTCACTGCTGAGATAACATGTACTCACTTCCATACCAAGTTATTAGCTAAGATAGAATTCATGCTACCTTTTTGTCCAATCCAGCTGAACTCAAACCCTTATGTTCTCAATCTCAACTTTCTGAGTAAAATTACACGTATAAACTACCATTTCCAAATAAGGGTAATACTTTTAAACCTTTTATTTTCACTTTGCTAAGGTCCAAAAATAAAAATCCCATATGATATAATTATCATAGTGACCTTTATTATCTATCTATCTATCTAATTTGCTGTGCTGAAGATCAAACCCAGGGTCTGTTACAGGTGCTCAGATAAATTCTAGAACCTTCTACTTTCACTGTACAAAGAGCACAAGATCTGTTAATCACCAGAAGGATGCCCTGCTCTCTTCTATAATTATTTTAATAGAATCCTATATTTAAAACCAGCAAAGAGCTGGGAAGGTGGCTTAGTGGTAGAATGTTTGCCCAGCATGCATGAAGCCCTGGGTTCAATTCCTCAGTACCTCATAAACAGAAAAGGCTGGAAGTGGCACTGTAGCTCAAGTGGTAGAGTGCACAGAATGGCTCAAGGACAGAGCCCAGGCCTCCTGAGTTCAAGCCCCAGATGGGCAAAAAAAAAAAAACAAGTATAATTTACAGTATAGGAAATTCATCCTATTTCAGTAATCTTGAACCAAGACCTCCTCAGTTGCTCAGTTTCAATGATGTCCATCCAGTAACAGTGAGCATCAGAGGGTAAGGGGAAAAGTTCAACCTCATCTGTCATCTTGCTTTCCTTTGATTGATTGACTGATTGATTGATTGATTTTGGTGCCAGTATTGGGGCTTTAACTCAGGGCCTAGGCACTGTCCCTGAGCTTCTTAACTGAAGGTTGTTGCTCTACCACTTGGAGCTACAGCTCCACTTCTGGCTTTTTGCTGGTTAATTGGAGATGAGTCTCGTGGACTTCCCTGCCCAGGCTGGCTTCAAACTATGATCGTCAGATCTCAGCTTCCTGAGTAACTACAATTACAGGTGTGAGTCACCAATGCTTGGATCCCTATCATTTTTAAATGGTTGCTGTAGGTTTTGTTTCTACCAACAGCCAATGACATGTTGGCAGCTAAGGCTTAGGTGTGTAGTTTCTTAGAGAAACTGGCTTGGCACGCAGCAGCCATTTCACCTGGAAATCATGTAGAAAATTACACTTGGCAGGAGAGGGGGGTGCCAATGACTTCCCCATTTAGTCATCTGAAAATTCAGCCTCCGTGTCTTGGAGGTCTTTCTGTAGTTCAATTTACACTCCAGAGCCCATCCCCAAATCAGGTCAAGGCTGGACTTGATGTGAGGCCATATTCCTAGTCAGCCATCCCCTTCACATCCCTGGTCAAGGGCATGACTTCCCCAAGCCTCTACCCCCAAATCCCTGTTTCAGGCTCTGATTTTTGGAAGCTGCCTGAAGGAAAATGATTGTAAAAGTTACTCATAGGATGACAGAACAATACAAGAACTTCAAAATGTTATAATGAAGAAGGCATCAACAGTATGCAGAGAAGTTGGTAAGAACTTAAACTGATTTAAGCCTCTAATTCTTGCTTCGTGCTGATTTAAATATAAGAAGAATTTACTGAAAGGATGCTGAGTAGCTCACGTAATTAACAGAGAGGTTGGCTTTGGGAAGCAGTGCACCACCAAAATTGAACCATAGGAATCTGGTGGTAATTCCACTATGGACCACCAGAGGGAGATGTGACAGACTCCGCCTTCACCTTGCTCTCTTGGCCCAGCTGCAAATCCCAGAAAGATCTGGCTGTCACAATGGCTGCTGTTGGAAAGGAAGGATTCTCCCAGCTCTCCTTTAGGAACTTCACTGGCTCCCGCACTTATACCAGGAAGCTGCGTCTGATTGGCTGAGCCCACTTCTGGACACTTCCTAGCTCCACCCATTCCCTTGATAAGGGGTGGGAGGCGGTGGGCCTGGGCTCCTCAATGGCACTAAAACCTTGAGAAAGAGAGGCAGAAAAAAAGACCAGAATGCCAGGCGCTGGCGGCTCGTGCCCGTAATCCTAGCTATTCAGGAGGCTTGAGATCTGATGATCTTGGCTCAAAACCAGCCCGGGGAAGTAAAGTCTGTGAAACTCATATCTACAATTAACCACCAGAAAATGGGAAGTGGCGCTGTGGCTCAAAGTGGTAGAACCCTATCCTTGAGCCAAAGAGCTCAGGACAGCTCCCACACCGGAAGTTCAAGCCCCAGGTCCAACAAAAGAAAAGAATCTGGCTGGGCAATGTGCTTGTCCCACAAGGGTTCAATCCCAGTACCAAAAGAGAAAAGATACACACACACACACACACACACACACAAATTTCCAATTATACTGTCTCTCCCTCATCAGATAACTATGCCTTCCTCCCAGCTCTGAATGACAAATCTTGGAGACAATGAAATTGTTAACCGGGGACTAAAGATACTGAAGGATCTGAAATAATTGGGTTTATTGAGCCATGACAAATGCTGCTCAGGAACAAAAGGGATTAGGTCCTGGGACAGGTTCACACAACCACCAGCAGCAGGGCTAACAAGTGGTTGGAAATACATCCTTTGGACCTAGAATCCAGTAGTTTTACAAAAGCCTTAAGTTTATGTGGAATCCCCACTGGGAGTAAGGGTTGGGAATAGGAGGAGATGTTGCTTCTGGATTGGTTGGGTTAGTCCACAAAGTTAATGTGTAAACAGGGTCAGGTGAGCCCCTTGACCCTTGAGGGGATTTAAGTCAAGGTTTCTCCAGACACTAGGGGCTGGGAAACTCTCATGTGTATTTCCCTTTCTGCCGTTAATTGATTAACTTCCCTATCACATCCACTCAACCTTCCAGCGTTTGTAATTATATTTATGACATCTCCAGTGTTTTCCTGTATCGAAAGCAATAGGGGGACAGGCATCTGGTGGCTCTGCTTATAATCCTAGCAACTCAGGAAGCTGACACCCGAGGATAACCGTTTGAAGCCAGCTAGAACAAAAAAGGCCTGTGAGACTTATTTCCAATTAACCATCCAAAAGTCAGAAGTAGAACTGTGGCTCAAGTAGTAAAGTCCTAGCCTTGAGAAAAAGCTCAGGGACAGCACCCAAGTCCTGAGTTCAAGCCTTGTCAAGACCAGTACTAAAAAAAAAAAAAAAAGCAGGGCTGGGAAGGTGGCTCAGTGATAGAGCGCTTGCCTTGCATGCACGAGGCCCTGGGTTCAATTCCTCAGCACCACATAAGCAAAAAGAAAAAAGCCGGAAGTGGTGCTGTGGCTCAAGTGGTAGAGCGCTAGCCTTGAGCTGAAGAGCTGAGGGACAGCGCCCAGGCCCAGAGTTCAGGCCCCATGACTGGACCCCCCCCCAAAAAAAAAGCAATCAGAGGACATTCGATCACAGGAGGCCATCATAGCTGCCAACCTGCTTGCTCAGGGAGCTGCCTCCTCATAGTGCCTGAATGCCTGCTCCTATATTCCTTCTGTAATTCCTCCCTCTTCTAGAATATTCTTGTAGCTAGGAGTGGTGGTACACACCTGTAATAGCAGCACCTGAGCAACTGAAGCAAAAGAATTGTGAGTTTGAAGTTAGGCTTGGCTCTATAGTGAGATCCTGGAGGAGGGAAGGAAGAGAGGGGAAGGGGAGAAGAGGAAGAAGAGGAGAGAAGGAAGGAAGGAAAAAATACATAAACAGGCAGTGAATCTCCTTTCCTAAAACAATATGGTTGTACATGCCTATAATCCCAACACTTGGGAGGCAGGATCATGAGCTCAAAGCCACATAGTGAGTTCTAGGCTAAACTGCGCTTCTCAGTGAGACCCTAACTCAAATCAAAAACAATGAAAATCAAATTGCCTTGCTTCTCCTTCCCAGCTATTACCTCACAGGTCTTAGTCAGGGTTCAACCAAGGAGACAGCACTGCTATGAGTGATGTGGTTCTTAGTGGAACTGATCTCACACAATTGGGAAGGATCTGGAGAAGAGAGAGTCCAAAGTGGGAGTGCAGGAAGAGGAAGAAATCACTAATGCTCCCCTCTGGTGGCCAATTGAAGCCAACACACCTGCCTGCTACAGCACTGGGACTGGGGTGTGGTGGGGGTGGGGAGCATGTGCAGAGACCTGTGGGAAGATATGGGTTCCAGATCTGTGGGTCCGTAGCTAAGTGTCTTGTGGATCCAGATGCCTTGATGGTCTCCAGGACCAAGTGTGAAGCATAGCTGGACATGAAATGAAGACAAGCTGGAACTTTCCTAAGCCACTCCTGCTTCTGAATCACCTTGAAATCCAGATATTAATGGGCGCAGCCTCCTAAAGCTTGGGTATGTTCCTCTCTTGCCCAACCCTAATGAAATCTAACCATGTTAGTAGGAAGCTGAGTTCCTGGACTACCAAGACAACAATGATGACTGTGCACACAGTGTTGCTCAGCCCCACTTCAGAGC